TGCCATAAAAAGTATAATACAAATTCTTCTGAAATTCGTAATTCCCATCACCGAAGAGAACAAGTTGTAACATGTTGATTTATGACACGAATCTGGTTTATGCTTTTGATATTATAAATTGTATGTATTATCTACGCGTTGTATAAATAAAACAAAATGATGTATATAATTATCATGCTTAGATAATTTAGTAAGACGCCTCCCCATGTCGCGAAAATTGTCGTGATTTTGGTGATTTTTTTAAAATCGGTTTAGAAATCGCATTTTTTTCGGTTGGACATCCATTTAAAGAAGGAGAAAAAAATTGGTAATTTAGTTTGAACTAAATCGCGATTCAGCTCACAGTAAATCGCTGATTTGTCTCCTTTTTTACATGGATGCCCAGCAGAAAAAATCGCCAAAATCACGACGATTTTGGTGACATAGGTGTCTTCAGTCGAGACAAATTATAAGGCAAACCTATGCGAAAAGATCTGAAAAAGTCGTATCTACACGGCGTATTATTGAACTATTCTAGTTAATACATATAAATAATAAAAGCAATTGGTATGTAGAATCCAATCTAAGAAAAAAAGTCGAACTCCTTCAATTATGATGAAACTCAAGGGGGGATTGGCAGGTTCTCGGAATTTCGAATCCCATGGGAATCCTGGAATCGAATAGAAATCCAGGGAGTCCAATGAATATCCAAGGAATACTTAAATTAGATGTCTGAATAACACTGGAATCATAACTCATGCTCATACATAACAAATATCCCTTCGTTCATTTAATATTTTGAAACCCGTTCCTTTAAGAAAACCACATAGTGGTATGGAAAATAAAGATGTGGATGTGAATGTTTCGTGGGGATGGAAAAAAATACGTAGATCATCGCCCTCATCGATATCGTAAACTGAACGTTCTGGGGTATAGTAGAAGCTACTGATTTCTAACGAAATAATGTGATCTCAATCGTTACATCGAGTATGATAATTTGTACAGTTCAATTCGGTGAAAGATCTCAAACATTTTGTACAATAACGCTCATATTGATTAATAGAAGGATGAATCGGACTACAACTTTAAATTCGACATATCATATATAGTTGGAATTGAAAGAAGGGGCTAGCTCCGAAGACGAACTTGCGGCCTTTTCATTGTATCCAATACTTAGTAAGTCGTAGCTCTGCAATCAACACTATTCTTACTAGACTGAACAATAATGATTTGTCCGTTAATATTAATACAAAAAAGAAAACGGGCACATAATCTATTGACTTTTTGCCACATGATTGGAACAATATACTAATCGATGAGCTTATATTAATTCATTATCCGGCTCGTTTAATAAAATAGACATGATTAATGAGAAAATGTAATGGGTTAGTTCTGATCGATATTACTTTGATTTTTACTACCCTTTCACGGAAAAAGGAAAATAAAACAAGAGCTTTTTTGTCTCTAGTATTGATGCATATCTTAAGAAAAAACTTTTCTGACTTAGTAATGACTTGACTACTAGAGAACAAAAAGGATAGAGATGCGGAACTCAATGAAAATCTTGAATATTCGGGCGAATTTCAGGCATTCTAGTGGGCGTAGAATTTGTTTTGTTCCTATCCAACAGCAGTGCGTTGAACTTTTCATTAAAGTTTTCAAAAATGTCACACAAGATAGAAAAAAGATGATTGGGAAACAATCAGCTTCAAAATGATCTCATGATCTTCTCCTTTGTGATAATTTTGAAAAGACTATTTGTCAAGTTTATAATCTAGCCTATAATCTTCTTTTCGGATTTGATTTTAATTCTGTTTAGAAGAAAACAAGAGAATCTTTGATAAAACAAAATAGATCAATTATACGAATCTTGTGTAAAAAAGTTCGTATTGTCTAATTTGATGAAAATCGTTACAACTCATTGGATCAATAGTCAAACTAGTATTTTAAGTCTAATGTTGCTTTTTTATATTCAAATCAGAGAAATATAGCTGATTCTAAAACAAAACTTATAATTTGTCTTCTGTGTCAACTGGCGATAAATCTCAATTTTATACAATAAGAGCCTCCGAACCAATTTTTTCTTCGCTTTCAAACTATTTTTCTTTTGTGTCAAAATTAATGCGAAAAACAATACAGTCATAGATAGAGAGCCTCTTATCTTTTAGTAGACAGAAAAGCTGTGCTACTACCTGATTGCTTTAAGCATGCTTAACTGTCAGATTACTGAATGAACCAAAAGATTACATATTAGACGCCATAGATTCATTTGATTCGCCATATTTCTTGTATCTCACTGGTGTATCTTATTGCTTGCTGCTATTTATTATTCTACTTCGAATATTTTCTCGAGGGATGTCATAATATCCACAACTTGGGTATCGAGATGAATACCCAGATAGGATACCCAGTTGGATGGATATCTACGTATCCTCAGAGCTGAGGAATTTGAGTGCGTTTGGTGTAAAGAGATTGGGTATCCATTTTTATGTATCCTCAGAGATGAGGAATTTGAGTGCGTTTGGTGTAAAGAGATTGGGTATCCATTTTTATGTATCCTCAGAGATGAGGAATTTGAGTGCATTTGGTGTAAAGAGATTGAGTATCGGAAACTTTCCTACTGTCAGGTCCTACTTCAAACAAATTAATATAAGCCACAATTCAAATAACATACATGTGACGACCCACAACAACACCAACTACACAGCATGCTACAGTTTCAACCCGACTTCTTGAGTCATTGTGATGAACGTCGTAATAAATTGTTATCAGGTAAAAATGAAGTTCTTCAACGAACATTTACCTGGAATTGCACGCTATCTGCAATACTCATTAAACAGATCTGTACATATCGATAAACATTGGCATAAAGCGGGCTACATGAATAGAATAAATTTTAACATAGTATCACGTTTCCTTATTTATAATTATAAAGTCACGTATTTCTAGAATAGGGTATCCATTTCCGATACCCAATCTCGTTACACCAAATGCTTTCAAGTTCCTGAGTTCTGAAGATACATAAAAATGGATACCCATTCTCGTTACACCAAATGCACTCAAATTCCTCAGCTATGAGGAACATGGGTATTCATTTTAGTATCCATTTTAGATATCCACTTGAATAGATATCGTGACTGGTATGTCGACGATACCCGGTGTTAGGATATTATGACATCTCTGCGATATTGCTGTTTAAAAAATAATTTTTGCATGAAATCATTGATTCTCACAATTTTGCAAGTGAAAATGAGTGTAATAACAAAAATTATCGTGAATATTCCATATTTTTACCTTTAGTATGCAAGGAACTGTAGCGGAACTGATCAGAGGAATTCCTAATCCTCAGTCATTGGACACCTTTCAAAAAACCAAAGTATCTATTAAAATTACTAAATCATGAATATTAGCTAGAACGGCGAGCACACTAATTACCAGTCAAGGTCTCGCTATATTGCATTGATATTGCGTCGTTAATAAGAAATGAATTGCTAGTTATAGTCATCAATTTTTTTTCTAATCAATTTTTTTACCACCACCGGAATGAGGTAACGAAGCGAGTCTACAAAATTAGATATCAATTTTAATTAAAAAAAATTTTCAGATCCGCCAATATCTTTTTCAATTAAAAAATTCATTAAGAAGAATGCATAGGTTTTTTTTACATCGGTTTGTTATCTACCTATAAATATTGCGAACACATCATTGTATTGCCACTGTAGACATTCCAGTTTCTATTTTGCATTGATTGAAGTAATTGTGTTTTCTTCTTCGTTATGTTTTTCCTTGCATTTTATTATTTATGCGTCTTTCTCTAGTAATAATGCATCGGGCTACATTTGTTTCATTTGCTCTGTTACTCGTTTGGTGCATTGCAGTTGTTCAAGGTCAATATGATGCTTCAAAAGCTTTAGGTGAACGGATGCTCAATAACCGAAATTTTCACATGCATAGCCGACAAAAACAACAACTGCGTGCTCATGCAGCAGCAAGTCGATCGTTAAGTGAGAGAAAACGTACGTATTTATTATATTTTGCATGATATTACATAAATCAAGAGCATGAATCTGTGCCTAGGCTTTCACACAAGTCTTCGAAAACTCAACGAGGCTCTCCGACAATTAGCGGGCGATAAATCAGAGGGTATCAGCTACACACGCCCAATCGAGAGTGCTACATGTGGTCGAACACAAACGGCACCACAATTTTCAGGACGTATTGTTGGTGGTCATGAAGCTACAGCTCACTCGTGGCCATGGGTAAATGCCTTTGTATAATTCCTTCATTGTGAATATTGATTTTTTGTTCATTTCCGATTGTTAGCAAGTCCTCTTAGAAGTTGGAGGAACTTGTGGAGGTACTTTGATTAACGCAGAATATGTATTGACAGCTGCTCATTGTATCGACCCCGAAGATTTGTCAGCAATAACTATCACAGCAGGCATGCATAATATGGAACTAGATGAAACCACCGAGACAACCCGACAAGTACGACATGCTCAGCGAGTCACTGTGCATCCCGACTATAATTTAGGCACGTTTAAAAATGATTTAGCCCTTGTTCGTCTAGCTGAGCCTGTTCAATTCAATGAAAATGTTCAGCCTGCCTGCTTGCCTGGTCCTGATCCTGAACCTGGTTCTGAAGTCGTCTTAATTGGTTGGGGTGTAACAAGTACAGATGGAAAATCGTCGCCTGTATTGAAACAAACGGAAGTTCAAGTTATTGACCATTGTGATGAACATTGGGCAGATGTTGATGATGCAACGCAACTTTGCTTTAAAGACAAGACACTGACATCGGCTACTTGTCAAGGCGATAGTGGTGGTCCTGCACTTCAGGAACATGATGGACAGTGGGTAGTAGAAGGCGTAACCAGTTTCGGCCATACAACATGTGAAGTAATTGAACATGGTCTTCCGGATGTTTATACTCGAGTGTCTGCCTTCTTACCTTGGATTAATAGTGTCATCGACCAATAAACGATCTTTTCTCACTTTAATTAAATTATATGGTGATGGGACAGGTGAAAGTTAACTAAAAGAGATGAAATAAAATCTATTGTTCTAATCAGTATATGCAGTTTTTTTAATTTTTAACATTTTCGCTTTTTTTTCGTAGTATACCTTTAGAAATAAACAAAAACTATATCAACGCAAAAGTCAACCTTCATATGAAAAGGAGATCGATGACACATGTTGCCAGTTCTTTTGTCACTTCTATTATAAAAGGAGCAGTTTCAGTTCAAAAAAACCAACAAGCAAACACAATTCAGCGACGCAGAGGGAAAAACATGTTTCAAATATTCAAAAGCGATTTTAATATACTGAGCAGTAACCATGCAATAGTCGTAGTAAGATGTCAAGCTAAATATTCCCATCAATCTGACTGATGTATAGAGAAAATGAATTTTTTCGTTCCGAAGAAAGTATTTCTCACTGAAGACATGCATTATAAGTACTTGAATTTCTTCGTTCATCGTTTTCAATAAACCAATAAAAATTATTTAGTGACACTTTTGACGATCCTAATAAATACTTATTTTAGACCAAAGAAGCCACTTACCTGGTTTATCCAATCTAAAAATATGAAATAGTAATAAAAACTCATGAGAATTACTCTTTGAGATGATAAAGCAATTCATCTTTCGATTTTTGTTTTATTTTAACAGATAAAAGAAACAGCCGACTAGAATATTTGTTAAGAAAATATTATTTCAATATGTTCATCGTATTTTGAGCAAACTGTTTCAATCACATTAGATCTAAGCATTAGCGAAAGCACAATTTTCATCAACTTTTAAATAAAATATTTTATGTGAATACTTAATTTCATAATAACATTTTTTTCAAAATATTCGAATACATTTTCTCCTTAACTTGAGTCGATGTCAGTTTTTTTAATTCTATGAAGTTCACTCATGAAAATATAGTAGCTTCATGCAGATCATTCTTTATTACTCGAAAAGTCATCATCATCATTTATTATCGAATTCGAACAGTAACCGAAATATATTCATCAAATTACAAATTATCTCATTATTACTATTCGAAGGTTGCCTTGTTGCATGAAAATAACAACAGTTTAGTAGTATGCTCGAAGTAAAGTCAGTTTATTATTTTGAAATAAAACCTGTCTATTGAACTAACAAAAGTAAATATAGTTCAATGTAACTTATGAAATCATAGACTAAGATTTTTGTATCTTCAGAAGCAGACTCAGAGTTTCAATAGCTGTGCGGAAATCTATACCAACTAGTTTTATCAATAACAATCAGCATTGTAGCTGCATAGATTTTTTTATGTAGAGCTCAAAAAAACTTTTTGATTGCTGATTTTAACTGCACATGAGCTGTCAATATCGACTGTCATGAAATATAAGACAATTTTTTATACCAAGAAGAGAATCGAATTCGATGTTCTAAAGTATACTGAAATGCCCATCGACCATGATGCGTTTTTATCTAGACAGATTTCTGTATCTTATTTTTTCTCATAACATGCATTGCATTCTTTGACTTTTTCCAGACTTCTGTTCCAAGGCATGCCGCTCTTATACGAATAACATTATTGGCATGTCTCTATAGGCGAGAAAGAAATATTTACGGAATTTTTTGTTTTATCTGAATGTCTTTTTTCAATTTTTTTCTGTTATTTGTTAAGCAAGAGTAAAATGCCGCCTCAACGAAGAATTATGAAAGAGAATATATGTATTAATAGATATCATATACTATTTTATCTTCAGATTTACGTTGATTACAAGTAGAAACGCGAGCTTTTTGTAATTGATATCCACATGAAAAGCAGTTTTGTGAGTATATATGTATCATAGAGATGACGCTAGTGGATAATGCTGGATAAAATCTAACTCACCAATAGAACACATTCTATCATGATATTATCACTTCTCTATAAAATAAACTCAACCAGTTTTGAAAGCGCATAAACGAATACATCTTTGTATCTGATGTAGAAAAGTATTGTATGAATTTAGTTTTCATACCGACTACTACAGCAAATTAGTAATAGCCTGAGTGAACCAACTAACAATTAGAATAGTTCGATTAGGGTACAATAACAACAAGCCTACTTATTGGTTTGCTGAGTCGATAAGCAGTAAGTTAGTCATATACGTCTTTTCATGTTGCATACTCCGTTAAGTTTTGCTAGATGGCAGATTTTTGTGTAGATTCGGAACGTTCTCGTTCTCTTTCTCTTTCTCTTTTTTGATTAAGGCGTTCTATTCCGATCGGCACATCTATTCGCAAGCACAAAAAGATCAATACAACAAAAATCGTATACGAAAAAATTCCTCGCAAGTGCCTATTACAAGTAAAATCAATTATGTCTGACGAATTTCATAACGCTATGGGTCCTGTTAAGGTTTGATGGCTATTAAATATACATCCATTCTTTTTTTTTCGATCTTAAATCTTCTTTTTTCTTTTATCATAGGATGTTACACCTGAAATTCAAAAATTAAGGTTCATTAATTTTTCAACTTAATCTACTTATCTATGTCTTTTGTATAAATAGTGAAAACCCAGAAGTTATATTCTCAGCTATCGATGCTCTCTATAGAAAACACAACGAACATAAAGTGCATTGTTTCACAGAAGACCATCGAGAAAAACATATAGCTAATTGGAGGTAAGTTTTTATATTTATTAAAGCCAATTCCGATTCGTTAAAAATAAAATAAAATCCTTAGAGTAACAAAATATGCTGAAGAAAAAGTTGCTTATGGTATAAATTATTTCTTAAAAGTATCGATTGGCGAGGGTTTCTTTCTTCATATGCGTGTTCATCGTCATCCAACTCAAGAGAAATTTCATTTTTATGCTTTACATGAAATAATTAAACATAATATTGCAACATGTGTATTCACGGAAGGTAAACGAATATTTTTCTTCTATAATTAATTGACTAGAAATTTTGTTCTTTTTATCCAGATGATCCATTGACTTATTTCAATCATTAATATTAACAACGAATAACGCATGATTTTTGATTTAATGTAAACCAAGCATGATTACTATTGAATTTGTTTTTTTATCGGTACGCTGTCAAATTATTCTTTTGTCGTTATGCTATGTTCAGAATTCATATTGGGCTTTTTTCCTTTCGTAAAAATAGTTTATTGAGGAGTTCTTTGAATTTTCAATAGCAATAATTGATTTCTTTTTGTTTTTACGGAATATATGAAACTATCAAAAAAGGAAAACACAATCGTATGACTATATTTGATTTATAAGTGATCTTATCGAGGACGAACAATTGATGCGAATAGATATTTAATATTTTCCCTTTTGGATAGTAGAAGAAGAGTTTTTTTCATCATATAGATCTTACTCAAAAATAATGAAAACATAATATTCAATTACAATCTTTGATAAATCATCATTTTAAATCTTAGTTTTTACATCAACGTCTTATTGTTAATGGGATTATTCAGTGCTTGTTGTCTTCTTCAATGAAGAAAATATAAATTACAAGTAATCAACAAACGCTAAGAAAATCTAGCACGCACTCTTGTTATTTTCTTTTCTCTCTCTCTCTCTCCCTTTCTTGAACTTGCTTCGTTTGACAAAGAAACATTATTACTGTTACCATCGCGAGAAAATAAAGCATTTGGTATAATAAGAAATGACGCATGTCGATATTTCTTTCTTTTTTTTTTGCATTACTATGACAGCTCTCAATTATTGTTTTTATTTTATGAATGATAGTTTCTTTTTACAAATACAGATTAATAGGCCATAAGTGTTACCGGCCCGCGGAGATTAAGAATTCTTTTCAAAAAGAATAATACTCTAATAAACCGGTGATGGCCTTTAACGGATGCGTGAGGGAACAATGGTCCTGTAATAAGCAGGCATTGAACGAACGCATCCTGTTATCATTAAGTTTTTTTCTCTAGCAACAGATGCATGAGTTATTTTTAAATGTCTAATAGAGCGTATCACGTACAGATAAGCTATCTAAATGCAAATACAGAAATATTCTCAAAGCAATGGATGATGAAGGCGGATTATTTTCCGATATTTCAAAGAGTAATGTACTCGATGTGATAAGACAAGCACGCTACAGTGATTCATTCTTCTCGAGTTCAATTAACTAAATTGAATCATAAAAATTATTTTGCTTTGAGACGACCTATAACAAATCTGATTAACAATGCTTTACGACCAATTAGAATTTTACAAAGAACAGAATCATTTTTTGTGCTTTTATTTTTAGGAATCTTATGAGAAAAGAATCTAGCATGTGCTGTTATTATATTTTTTTACAGAATCTTATTACTATGCTAATTAATGTCAAGCCCATCGGAATCTTTCACAAATTATCATATGAATTGCCATGGATAATTAAATTTTCATATTGAAAATTATGCAATTTGTTTTTCTATTACTCAAAAAATTTCGTTTCGGTAGTATTCTAGAGAACGATATTGAAATTTGATCGAATTAAATATTCTTTTATGGTAGTAAATCATCTCATTTTTTTTTGTAGGAAGGATATGAGGAAATACTTTTGTTTGAAATAATGTACACTCATATTATCATCCATTGAAAAGTCAAAGAGAATTAATATTTAATACTTTGTTTTTAGCATCATAGCTATGAGTGACTATTGTTCAGCCATACTTAAGTTCGCGTGTTGTTGCCTTTTCAAGCTTCTAATAGATCTATAATTTGATGAATACTCTCGTGTTGAATTCTAATCAGAAACCAATGAAATTTTGTATTGCGGGGGGAAAACATTGGAAATTAATAGTACGTGAAAACATGGAGATCAATCTTCCGAAAGATACAGATGTTAATCAAGAGACGATGACCTCTCATATTCAAAATCGTTGTCAATATATTTGTTCATTTGTTGCAAAGACGAAAAACGATTGCAATATCAAGTTTATGATACTTAATGAGATCGAAGAAAGAAAACTTTTAAAATCGATTTGATAGTTGCCTATTGTTTATCAGGATTGATTATGATTTGTTCCATATGTTTTTATCAGATTTTATTCGATGGAACGGCATAGATTTTTAATCAATATCAATTTCATTTTCACTGAATTATTTAAATTGGTTTTTTGAGTAAAAAGTTATCCATTTAAAATCCATGCTATCTCAACACTAAATGGTACTTGATACAATGTGAAAGCAAGTAGAAAAACGCAGAATCTTACAAGTACACGATGTTGAATGTCAACAATGAATAACTACTATCTTCTGTCACAATCAAAACTGATTGAAACAAGATACTTGAAAGATCGAACTGCTCCGTACCGCTGTTCAAAAGTTTCATCTTCTGCAGGCGAAACAGCTTTTCGTGACTCTAGGAGATAAGTTTCGGTGAAATAGTTTGATATGAACTGTACTTAATCCTATCTAGGAACTTTTAAGTATCATGATTAATTTGTAAAATAGATTCTTTCACTGGTATACCGACAAAACAAAATACTATTAATATTCAACGTTCCCCAAAATAATAGGATTAGAACAGCGAGAAATAGCTCCAATTTCCGTCCCGTTTACTTACCAGAGACTGGATACTGAGTACAATTACTCAGTATTTTCGTACTTTTTACTTAAAAATCGTAAGTACAAAGTATACTTTAGAAGTACAAGTAAATTTACTTGTACTTCTCGAATGTACTTAAGTACCGATACTTAGTACAAATTTACTTAAGTACAAGTACCAAGTACTGATGTATCGATGATCATATAAATGTTTCAAATGTACTTGGTACTTTTACTTAAGTACCGGTACTCAGTACAAATGTACTTAAGTAATTGTACTTAAGTAAAAGTCCAAAGTACAATTAGTAAGTAACAAGTATTTTCACTTGCTGTACTTGTACTTGTCCAGTCTCTGTTACTTACACGCTTTATTTTGATAGTACTGACATATACTGTTTTTTTACAATCATTAAGCACTTTTGTCATAGACACATTCTATGTTTTCATATGGCGTTTTTTTCTTCGTTGAAAAAGTCTGAATACTGCAGATACCCCAAAATATATTTGTCCTTCTTTTCAATAGAACTTTTCTTTAGAACTATCGAACACAATATTTGGTATGTTGTCAGAGGGGTCATAAGGCGTTTCTTTCGTGCAATTAATAGCAGATGCACTTCTCAGCAGTGACATCTATTTTTATATTTTCCCTATGAATATTTTCTCAATATTTTTATATAATATGATCAGGGATGGAAAACCTAACATTATTCTAATAAGCTCATTTCTAGCTGATATCATTTTACTAAGAATGCATCTTGAAAGAGGCTTGTTTCCAGAGAGACTGACATGAAAATGTATGAACGTGCAGTAGCCACTACATTTTATTCACAACCTTTATTTGCCAATATTAATAAAATATTGATCTGTCACAAGAACATGTTGCCTGAATTCAATATGAATAAATTGTGTCAGTTGAAAAAGAGCTTATTTCTATAGATTCAATCAAGAATACTTTTAGCTTTTTGACATCAATTGAATGAACAAAAAACTTTATTTATTATTATAGCAAAATAAAAGTAAACCATAAAATTATTAAAAAAAATCTCTGTTACTACATTGAATAGTACAAAAATAATATAAAAATAATAATATGAAAAATAACACTGAGCAATATTTTGAAAACGATAAAAATATCGGCAAATCATGAACTTTTTTTTGCGTGGAATAGTTTAAATCAAAAAAATTCTAGTGAAGCGTATTGTTATAATTTAAAAATTAGTCTAACCCGACTTGGTGTGCTTGGTGAAAATGTATTTGTATTTGGAGTCGGTTCTGCTGGTTTTCTTTTGGATGATCGTATTCTTGTGCTTTGTTTATTTGAATTCTATGTTAAAAGAAAAGAAAAAAGATTCTTTTAGATTACAAGTTGGAGTGTCTCATTTGAAGTAGTTATTACCGTTACATTTGTAGAAGGACCAATTGGCGATCATGAATTTCTAAATCGATTTGATTCAAATGTTGAATGCAATGGTGATGATGTAAGATTCTTCATTGTATCTCTGCAACTATTAGATAAGCATGATGTAGATTGATATGCAGATTGATAATAATAACTAGATTCAAGATCACTTGATACATTCATGAGATTCGATTGACTTTCATTATCATTTAAGCAATCAGTTTTTGTTGAACTAATGAAACTAGCATCATCCTATATCATTAAATAAAATTAAACAAGACAATAAATATAGAAAAGCAATAAACTTTATGCTTACATTATTATCATAAATAAATTCAAGTGAAACTTCCTCATCATTATCCTCATGATCATCTTCACAATTTAAATTTCTTGTATTTTCCATTTGATTGTCATATTATATATCACTATCATAATCATCGTCAAAGGAAAATTTGTTGATCAATGGCGATGCTTGCTTTTTTTTACTATTTTTGTTGATTGTGATCTTATCTGAAAGGAAAAAAGTTCCGTTTTCTATGAGCAAAATTATTCATCAAAACAATGTTTATGAATTTACCTGGGTACTTGCACGATTTGTACATTGACCAATGGAACAACCACAAAAAGGTGTACATGATAAATTATTAGTTGAACATTTACACCGATGACAACCGTTTGTACATTTCATACATTTAGTCAAAGATATGTCATTTGGTGCTCCTGGTACTGTCATCCATCGTATGACTAATTCACCATCATCCGCTCGTTGAGCTATAGAATAAATTTTGAATGTGCATAATAATCTCTCGTTAAGTTACAAGAGCATTTGATTATTTCGCTTTTCATCAAATTACCTTCTCAGTTGTGTTTGTTGAAAATGATGATGTGTTCGAACATAAAGTGTCAGCTGAATCGACAAAAATACAAGTTTTATTTGCAGAGTTTTCTTTAAAATGTTGATTAGTTGATGTTACTGGTATTGATGACGACGATGAACATTGAAAATTTGTACAATCAGTTAATGGTAAGCGACGATTTGACACTTCAGTTGACGATCTTTTGGTTTTTGATGCATATATGTAACGACGATGGTATTTTGCATAACATTCTCTGTGTACTGTTTCATTTAATATTATTCTTGATAAAGAAATACCATTTATATATTCATATGCTTGTTTTATTTTTTCTTCAACATCAACACTGGCTACTGTTGTGAGTAGATTTCTATTTATTTTTGTTGTTCGACAACATAGAACACATGTGTATGACATTATTGTAGTATTTCGTTACAGAAAAATCTAAAATACATTGAAGAAGATAAAAAAAGACTTTTTAAATAAAATACAATGAGTTTAGCGCTAATTCACCATAAATCTGTCATATTGCTTATTGACAACTACAGCGATTGCGAAAATTACAGAGGGCGACACCAATTAAATGTTTTTGGTCTAAAATTCAAGTTTACGTGCATCTCCGGGCGAAAAGAACTATACCATTCGATTGCAAATTAAATTCAGATTTTTTCGATACCTGAATGATTTAATAGAAGTTGTAGGGAAAACGCTATATATGAAGTGCATAAGTGACGCCCTAATCTGCTCATAAAAGTCTGAGTCATCTGAGTCTGACAACATATCAATTTACTATATAGAAACAAAAGTTATTTTGAAAGACACCATACTGTTTTCATTGATTCTAATACCTGCACTTTATAGGACGTATGTCACCTAAAAGTATGTAATAAAAAAAATCGTTTTTTGGTTGCAACAAATTAAAGACAGCCTTCAGTAAACTAATAATTGATGGTGTAAAAGCTGACTTGTATGTATAGTGAATATAATCTGAAGGTTAGCGACATCTATTTATTGAAGTAAAAATACTAGAAAATTATCTTTCAATTGAAATTTAGTACGCAATAAATTACAAATAATTCATTTTTTGATTTTTTTCTTTGCCCTTCATTCTATTAGTTAAATCCCAGGTCGTTCATTCCTACAATCGGATCTGAAAATGGGTTGCATCGGATCTTACATGAAAAGCGACAAGAACCAACAGATTCCGTCGGCTTCCGGACCGAGATTCGGATCCACAGGATCGGAATCCGATACATATCCGATTGTATCCTACTCTGGGATCCGATGCGCCAAAAAGTCTGCTATACTTAAATTCTAAAAAGCTCTTTTGCACTAAATAGAATTTTGACATTTTTTTAAATTCTTCAGTCGAATCCGTCAATAGTACCGAAACCCAGAATCCAACTGGATTTCCTCGGTTCATAGGATGTTTTAGGATCCGATAGAATCCGTCGTCGGATTAGTCGACCTGGGTAAATAAAATAATCGTTATTTTTCGAAAAAGAGAATGAACACACATTGGCATACATTGCGCAACCGTTTTATTAATTCGTCGACGTTGTCGAAGTCACCTTTCAATGAAATCGGTTCAATACATGTTTCAGTCAACTTTTTGCCATCTTCAATCTAAATTTATCAGCATTATAGTCTTAAATAAACTAAGAAAACAAGGACGTACTGCATTTTCATATTTTAGATAGAATAATGATGTCTGTATAATCCTTATCGCGTCGCTTTGGCTGATTTTTTTTGTTGTTTGCAAAATCCAACGATGCAATTGTGCGTACATCATCAAATATGAATTTATAATCGCGTTCGATGATCTAGATGATAAAAAACAAAGATTAAATAAAACCAATTTTAAATCTTACTGAACCAGAGAGAATAGCCATTTTATTTAATACAAGCATGAGGATGAGATATACAGCTCTATGATAAGTTGCTGATCTTTTGACCTTTTCTTGTCTCAGATGTAGAATTGTTTTTTATTGGAGAGAGAGAGAGAGAGCGGTCAACAAAAGAAAACTCTTACCACTGGCTTTGCAGCCATTACTAATCATAAACCAATAACAGCAAGATCAACGATTTTTATTCGAAATAGTTGAAAACTATGTGTAATGTTGCGTATAAGTTTAGTTAACAAAATAATAGCCGCTATGACTGAATGGTTAAGATATTTGACACATCCACAATATACTATGATCGAACCTCGGCCCCATCCAGTTATAGAATGACCTTGAATAGGTTACTAATGGCTATATTATCTCGGATCACCCGTCCGATAACAAACTGACTACGTGTGACATACATTAAATAGCTCTTGTAGCTAGTATGTTGTTAGTCAGCGTGTACGGAGAGCTTAAGTAATTAAGCACGAAGAGCTCTGAGCCAGACCGGTCTTCTGTCCAAGGCTACATTTAGTAATAGATGTAGGAAAAAAATCGGGCCCTTGAAATTGTCCTCGGACAACACCCCACATCGCAAGGTAGCCGAAAGGCAGGGTATTCTTCTTCTTCTTCTTCTTCTTCTTCTTCTTCTAACAAAAGAAAGAGAGAAAGAATCAAAAATCGTTATCACCCTATCTTGCTATCCCTCTATGATGAACGAATTTTCACGAAAGAAGAAAAGTCAAACGAATGACCCACCTTTTAAACTAATTTGATACATGTCCATAAAATAAAATACAAAGCGAATTGGTATAAAAAGGATAGAAGGGGTGTCGGTGTGCGTGGGAGTGGAGTGCGGTTGTTGCTTTTCTTCTAGTTCACACCCACAGCCTTAAAAACATTAGGATGATTGGCATTATCACCAAGAACAAAACCATCGAGATTGTTTAATTCTTTAGAAATAAATGATAAGAACGAACAATTCAATCAACTTCTAAAACAAATGTCAAAAACAATGAATTTCGAAATTATTAATGCTAATCTTCAACAGCAACATATGCACACTGACGGTTTACATCCATCTATTACATCTGGTCGTATTCTTATTGAAAAATCAATCTATAATTTGGTTCTCAAGACGAACAGGTACTTTTTCTAATTTAGAAACTGATCGTACCTTCACATTACAACAATCGAATAACAAGAATAACCATATAGAATGAAACATATGTTAACAACAACAGCGATAAATTATAAACGAAATAATAATAATATAAATAGTGTTAGAAATATAAATAATGTTAATAATAATAATAATAGAAATCATTTTATTAGTAAACAAAATAATTCAAATATTATCCAACGATAAAAATCAAATAACAATGCAGTGAATATAAACAAATATGATATACAAAAACATTCAATGCAACAAAAAACAAATTACTATCAACCTAGTAAAATACTAATTCATCAATATCCACATTTCTTAACGCATAAACAAGAATTTTTTCGAAAAATAAAAATACCTACAGAATTAGAGAATAAAAAAGATGAAATATTCAATCTAAGTAATATACACTATCAGGCAGAATATTGCATGCAGATTAGAATCAGAGAAATAGAATATATATAAAACAGTAGCTATGAACAAGAAAAAAGTAATCGAACTAATGGAAACAATAGTAGAAGACAATGGTAATAATTTACCGATTATGAGACCATTACCCAGTGGTCTGGCAGAACGACCAGCATTATTAGATTTTACAGACTATCCAGAAATATTTGATGAATGGTTGCCAGAGGCAACACCATGAAGAAAACGAAAATTAGGACAACGAAGAGATGATCCGTCAACACCACCATCTCCAAGGCAACCACCACCGATTGTACCGAGAAGAATACTATCACAAAGAGACACCAATGCTCCTCTAAGAGGAGGTTCATTAAATTCATCACCATACGAAAATGAAAATGGAAAACAAAAAAATAATAAAAAAGAACATTCATATTCAATGTGCTACTTCCTATAGAAACTAACAATGAGATAAAATAACAACATATAAGAACACCTAATAAGATAATAGAAAAAGAAAATTCTATGGTGATATCACCAATAGAAAGTTCAACACCAGAGATAGTAATGCGTTCACCGTCAGTAATATCAAAAAATTAGAAAGCACAATATAGTGCATACGAATTTGAAAGTCTATCCTATCGCATGTAAATATTTTTTCAAACGAATACAATGTAGATGCTCATTTGAAACAATACAAGAATATCAAAATTTTCTTGAAAGAAAATATAAAACATTAGAACAAGATCGAGAAAAAATGTTGCATACAACATTTTCTGAATCTACACGCGCACAAATAGTTACTTTTATAAAAGAAACTATAAAGAAAGCAATAGAAAATAAAAAGAACGATAATCAACGAAGATTAAACAATCTTCTATTAGATCAAATGAGAGAAACTTCATGAAAAACATAAAAGATTACTAGATTTAAAATTACAATTATAGATAAATTAGAAAAAAGATTCGTTGAGAACATGCCACCACCATCTCTCAATACTTTCGATAGATTACAGCTACATGCGAAAGGATTAAAAGCTGATAATATAATCATCTCAGTTTTCTACGAGAGCAATGGAAAAGTATACTAAGAAAAACAAAACTAGATTTAACAACGCTAATGAGACAAGCTAAAAAGGCAGAATTAGAAGAAGAAAATAGAGAATACGAAAAAATGATGAAAGAACTAACAACAATACTACGCGAATCATATAATGTTATATCATATGTAACGCAAACAAGACATAATCAGTTCGCAAAAAAGAAATCAAATTTTTTAGCGAAAAGAACGTGCGCAACGAACAAAAACTAGTGCACGCCCTAACCCGTCATCATCCGGGTTTCCCATCATCAAAATTATATTCACATCATACTACTATAAATTTTCCACCTCAAGCCAATAATAAAACTGAAATGATAAAACAGAAATGTTAAAAAATACAGAAATAAGAGTACTCAACTTAGATCCGAACTATGTTTCACCAGCACCGGAACAAGTACTAAAACGACTACCGAAAGAAATAGAACAAATGAAAGAAAAATATCGACAGCTTGGAGCAGAACAACAACAACAACAATAGGACGAGAAGAACCTCTTATAGTGAGAAAGTTTTGCAATAGAGTAGAAGAAATTAAAAAAGTAGTAGCAACAGAAATGACAAAAAAGGACGATACGATGAAGCAAGCTATAACAACCTTTAAAAAGATTCAAGAAGAAAACAACATTATATTTAGAAAAACAGGCAAATCAAAATTATTTCATATAGATACCAGTGCAAACTATATAAGAAAATCAGCAGCGTACATGGAAAAAACAAACGCATATATAGAAATAAAAACATCTCCATTAAGAGAAATGATAGATAAAACAGATAAATTCTTACGTGACCTAGTTTCAAGTAAAAAATGCCACAATATATGCTAGAAAGATTACGACCATCTGACAACGATTCAGAACTGCCTCATCTATGCTACAACCCAAAAGATCATAAGATCGGCGAACCATTAAGGCCTATAGTGAGCGGAATGAAATCCCCACTAGTAAAAATATCGACGTTTTTAGATCAAAATATACGTCCGATATTCGATCAGCACACTCCCTATTCACTTCCAAACTCAATGATTTTTCTAAAACATCTAAAAGATTACATAACAACATCAGAAACGGCTATGTATACATTTGACATCACAGATCTGTATACAATGATTCCACAAAAAGAATCAGTACTAGCAGTTTGTGAATTTCTAGGTAGACATGGATATAAAAAAATCCGAGGTCTTTCCATAAACACAATTAAAGCACTATTTTTACATGTATTCGATAATTCTTATTTTGTCTTACAACTACCAGGAATAGGACTAAAATATTATAGGCAAATAAAGGGAGGAGCCATGGGTTCCGTATTTACCCAAGTATTAGCCGATATATATGTAAGAAAATGGGAGAATGACTTTCTACAAGAACAAAAACAGCAAAAGGAATTATATTTTCGATTTAGAGACGACGTATTCATAATCACTAAACTAACATCAGAACAGATCGAACGTAGACTAACAGAACTAAACGAAAAAGATCCTAACATAAAAATTACTTGGGAAGGAGGAAAAGCAGTAGACTATCTAGATGTGACAACTACAATAGAGATACCAAATTTTAAAACAACAGTCTTCCGTAAACTAGCGGCACAACCATATGTGCTACCATTTCACTCATCACATCCAAAACATATTACACAAAACATACCATATGTCGCTGCTCTACGAGCAACCCGCATATGTTCGCATCGAGAAGATCTAAGAGTTGAGCTCGATAAAATTAGAATCATGCTACTGTTAAATAAATATCCACCAGGATTCATAGATAAACAAATGGACGTTTCTATCAATACGTAACACAAAAAAGAACATGTGAACTACTACTAGGTGAAGATCACCACAAGTATCGAGAAAATGTACTCGATTCTAAATGGAATAAAAAAGAAAAGAAAAAAATAGAATTCGATAAAGACATCTTAGTACATTTCACGTACGCACCATCTCTAGCACATTTCGGGGCGCGTTTCCACCAGATTTGAGAAGAGATATTTGAGGGGGCACCACTCGATGACATATCTGTCATATATGCAAACAGGCTAACAGACAGCTTAAGGCACATACTGGTTAAAAAACGACCTAGTAAAGAATCAATAAAACTACTACCAACAACATCCGAGATAGAAAGATAAAATGAAATTCATTCATTCATTCATAAAAAAAACTATTATCTTCCAGATGATATAAAAATACCCAGGTCGACTGATCCGACATCGAATCCGATAGGAACCTGGAAATATCCTACAATCCGATACAATTCTATTGGATTCCGGGTCGAGGAAACGATGTCGGATCCTCAGTGTCGGAATCCTATGAACTTTTCGATGACATACAACGACTTTTCCTTAGAATTCATAGGAATCCGACACTGAGGATCCGACATCGATTCCTCGACCCGGAATCCAGCGATAATTCTGTAAGATCTGTCAGGATCCGATAAAATCCTATTGGATTCCAGTCGGATCGGATGGGCTCCGATTGGTGCCTACTGTCAGATTGTTCGACCTGAGTACCTAAACAATTCAATAATCCAATTTTTGTAAAAAACAAAATATTATTTTCATACTCATGTAATGATATACATTTTATTAATAAAACAAAAAATCACGCATAATTATGATACTCACAGTAACAATCATAGATATAATTTACACAACAATCAAGATATATATACACTCTGAAAAAAATAAAGGAGGTTTACAGAACCCTCCGAAAAGGTTCGGTAGATTTTCAAAATGCTTCAAATGTGTTCAAAGTCTCAAAAAAAGGATAAAAATTTTGACAGAACCTTTTGAAGGTTCTGTACAGCAAAAAAAGGTTCCGTGAGAAAATACGAAACCTTGAAGGTTCTGTACAAAACGATTGGGTTTAGTACGGAACCATTAAGGTTACGCAACAAAGGTTAATGGTTTTGTACAGAACCTTCAAGGTTTCGTATTTTCTTACGGAACCTTTTTTTGCTGTACAGAACCGAAAAAAAGGTTCTGTAAGAGATGGTTCTGCACTTGGGTAAAACGCAGAACCTTCAAAAGGTTCTGTCAAAATTTTTATCCTTTTTTTGAGACTTTGAACACATTTGGAGCATTTTGAAAATCTACAGAACCTTTTCGGAAGGTTCTTTAAACCTCCTTTATTTTTTTCAGAGTAGTTTATGCTACTATTACACTCGTTACTTCTACCACCTACAATAAACAGATGAGGATTTTAATCTTTTTTCTCTCACAAATACCTTATTCTAGAGCTTGAATCCACTTCAGTGTATTTACAATTCGCAACTTTTCCATCCACTGGAAAGCTTTAAATCAAATTTTCGTTTATGAAAAACTGTATCAATTTCTCACCTGACAATACAAAAAAATATAAATTTCTCAACAATATTGATAGCTATATCCTAAATACTCTTCAAACTATTATCATTCACAATATTTCTCAATGAAATCACTAAACACTTCAGCATACTGACATACTCTAAACAAAAAGTTTTTTATACGTTCTCTCTAGTAATATTTCCTATTGATAAATCCAATAAACTTCAAATGTTAAAAAGGGTTTTTTTATCTTATTTTTGAACAAAATATGATCTCACTACACTGAAAAAATAAAACTTTTATTTGATCAGTATTTAACTGACCGAAATATGTGAGTTCCACATTTTAGCCCCAACGAGGCTGCACTGAAAAGCTTTTTTCTTCTAATTAAATACATATCCATTTTAGAAACTATGATCAAGACAGACGGCGTCTTTCAAGTGATATGGTACTTCAGCGTTCAATGCTTGAGTTTAAACAACGTGACGGTATAAAAGAGACTTTTCTAAATTGATTGGATTTATTTCTATTGAAATATGTTAAGCTCTTCGACGAATTGGTGATACAAAGAGTCGATTGGAAACAGTCTATGCTAAACAACGACAACTCAATACAAGTACAGCTATTATGGAACAAGATCGACGTGCAGCACAATTAATGTCTAAAATGAATGTAAGTTTAGTTTTTAATTAAAATAAAACTGCACTTCTTTTTCTCTAATGTGAAAGGATATTGATAATCGACGATCACAATTAATGAATCAACATATACGTGATAAAATGGAAAAATCTGAAGACAAGGAAAATGAAGCTGGGACAAAAGTGAAAATAAGTCATATTGAAATTGAAGCTAAACAGCATGAAGATAAATTACGAGATTTAGAAGTAAAAGATTTTATTTAATTAACGTAATATACATATATGTATATATTCCTGACTTTTTTCTTTATTAAGGATAAAGTAACTAAAAATGAAGAAATCGAATATAATATACGTAAATCTGTAAAAGAAACAGAATTTCTACGACGTAAGAAAGAGCAAGAAGTACAAAAATTGAAAGAAGATTTAGTAAAAAAGAAACGTGAAGATGCTAAAAAGATTCACGATGCTATTGCTCGATGTGAACAAGAAGAACGAGCATTAGAACGAATTCTAGCTAAAGAAAAAGCAAAATTATTTAAAGTACATATAATCATAAACTAAATTTTTAGTTAGTACATATTTTATATGAATTCGTCGTCTTTTATTTAGCTGCAAACAAGACGAGAAGATAATCATGAACGTTTAACAAGACAACGTGGACAGATGCGTGAAAATAAAGCTTTGTTAAACATTCATCAACAGGAACATGAACGTCTATTACAAATTCAAAATCAATCACACTCTTTGCAATCACTTAATACTATCTAGAATGTGACTTCATTGACTAGAGTTTGCCGGTGCTTTGTCACTAACTATATTTTTGTGCCTTTTATTATCTTCAAATAAAATATTTTTTCAATGCGCATGTAAGTATCTAATACTAATATATTTTGCCCAAGTCATAAATATTCTTTCCGAAGTTCTCAGTCAAACAAGTTGAGTACGACTTTTAGAAATTTTCTACTATAGCAAATAGTTGCATTTTAAGTGTGAATAAATTGATCTGAAAACTGTTGCAAAGCTCGTACTTTATACCCTGCTTCGATCTAGTTAAAAATTCAATGATTATTAATCGTTGGTTGATTATTGAATTTTAATAATTATCAATTTAATAAAATTATCATAGGATATTTTCATCTGGGATATTTAAAAGAGAATTTTCAATGCAGTATTTATCATAGGAAAAGCTTTGTATGGTTTAGAAATCTTATAAAAATGATCTCAATACTGGTGATTAGAATATGAGATATAGAAAAAAAATGTTTAAAAACGTTATCAAGAAATGTCTTTCTCAGTCAAAAACAAAACCAACGTTCAGAAACTTTTCATTAATTTACTCGAAGTTTCAGATGATCGGGAAGTGAAACATTTCTCAAATGCAATATCAATCATAGCAATGACTAAAGTAAGGTACACGAAGTTGATCATCAGAAAAACATACGAATGAGATACATTTATGCAGTTTTATAATAAGTATACTATTAGCTACAAGCATAACAAATTGAAGAAAAAAAGTTAGATATACATTCGTGTTAAATAAATATCTTTATTGTACTCTTTAAGAAAATGGTTGAGAAATGCTATACATAGAAATACAAATACGGCGACACGTTCGAGCATGTGTTATTGCTGATCTGAACTATTATTGTCACACAGGAGAAAAATGAAATATCGCTTTGGACAATCTTCTAAAAGATTAAAAAGGACATAGCAGACAAAACGAGAAGGCTTAAACGATGAATTGAATACAACATGACAAGTGAAAAGGAAAAAAACAAAATATTAGATGAAACTATGATCAACGTAATAATATGAGAAGAGAAAGATGCAATAAATGAAGGGATTCATTCGAAGCAGTTCATATTCTGTTAGAGTGAAACGTAAAATGGTATTTATATGTATAAACATGACCAGCAGATTTGTGAAGTTCGTAAAACACTGATATTATTCGATGTGGGCGTTGTCAAATTCAACCCACTCTGTTTTTGATAGTATTCGGCCTAATTGATACAGTCGATAAGGGAAGAAACTGCTTTTCCTGAAGCTCATTCTTTTTAAGTACCCAGTACGAACAATCCGATATCTGGATTCAACCGGACTCGATCAGATTTCGATCGGTTCCTACAGGATTCTAAGCAAATCCGGGTTGCGGACCCACTCACGGACCCCTAGTGTTGGAATCGGATTCATTCACCTGGGATAGTTCAAGTCAAGAGATGTTATCACCATGCAGGTATCGATCTCAGCTTTGTGGAAATGCTAGCGCTTTGTAGATTTTCATCAAGTGGTGCAGTCAAATTTGCCAGTGTACAAATAAGTATAGCCGCTTGGATTCTTCTTTTTTAATAGTGGTAAGGTATTTTACTAATCATCTCATGGGTATGAACTATGTAAAATGCGTTGACCTTTGCAGTAGCAGTGTTCTAAACGTTCTGTTTGTGCTTCTGTGTAAAATAACTACAGGTAAATAAAAGCCACCGGAAGTGAAGTAGGGCGAAAACCAGAAACAACCATACTGCACTGCATAAAATAATACTTTTTATATTCTTGACTATGAATTTCATTAAATTTTCAATTTCTTGTAACAATCTGTATCTTTTCATGGACGCTTTTATACCAACCTAATTTAACAATGCTCTATAGAAATACGTCTAGATAGATAAGTTCTTTGATAAATCCAATACATTGTTACAGATAGGTCGAAATATTTTGGCGATACGATGCTATATATGTATCCGAACAACTTTTGTTTTCTACATATTGATGGGTATAATTAAATCCAGAAAGAAATCGGAAAGCTGCTTTAGCACTAAGACTGCTGTAATTTTAAGTTGATTCATATCTTCTAGGAGCGTTTTCTCAAGAAATCAATTATAATTAAGCTAGGCCACACCAGCAAATGTTGTCTCGAGACTAAATACCACGACAGAGAACGATACAAATCCACGACGACTGCGACTATCTCTTCATATTTGTAATAACCCTGGGAATTTCGATACCTGTATTGTATAATTAGTAGATTTTCTATAGTCGAATGTTTAATCAGATAAGTTTATTGTATAATTCATTCGCTGGTTTGAAAATATTGTTGATATATTTTTTTTGTCACTTGTAACAGTTTTTGTAAATGTACTAATGCTAATTTAGTAGAGAAAAATAATAAATACGCAATTGCAGATCAATCATTCTGAGTCGCCAAAACAGCGCCTCATCATCTCTAAGCAAACAGCTTAAATAACGCAAAATCGGTAGATTTCAACGTTATTGAGGTGTTAAATGACGTTGATTACGCCGTTTGTTTCACACATGGAATAGAAAATAACATTTAGTAACAAATTTCAATGCATTGATTTGGGTAAATTAACTATTTAGCATGGGTAAACTCGGCCTCAAACGATTAAACAAAGGTGATCATAAATCCCTTAGTTATTGTAGATTGATTATTCCAGCAAATAAGACATTCGATATAACTTGCAAGTGTAAAATATGCTGAATTATTGATATTCATAGAAATCGATCTACAGAAAAATAATTTGAAAAATATACGAGTTGTTCTGTTCTTTTTTACACCATCTTCTTAATGTGCACAAACACATGGGACGACTTTCTAAATAGATCAGATGGGAAAAGATGAGAGAAAAGGTTCTCTAATTTCAAAAATGAAGAAATAACAGGAATAATAATAATAACATGTGAGAGCTGATCCAATAATAGTCAGCGTCTCTTCGGAAAAAAGTCAATGTGTGTTTTCACACATATCAAATCAACGAAAAAGAAGAAAACGAACGAAGAGAGAAGAAAGTAAAATAAACGCTCAGTATAATTTCACACGTGTTCAATAACAACATATAAGGAGAAATAATGAAAAATGATCAAGTGTATAGTTGACTGTAATGTTGTTCCGTGAAGATACGATCATACAATAATTTCTCGACTTCATCGACAATTGTTTGATTTCTGACTCCAATAAATAACGTGAATCGAACCATGCTGATGTTAACATAACAAATATTCATTGATTTAAGAATTTGTTTGATTTTTGTGATGTTAAATAATCGATAAACAGACCGAATAACTTCAAAGCGGTATCGATTTGCACGATGTCGACATGATTTCTTTTTTGATTTCTTATTTGTCGTTGTGTTGATATTTGTGTATTCGAATGTAAAATATTAAAATTACTTCCCTGTTCTGGTTCATTTCGTACATGAACCTCGGTTTTCGTGATTAATAGGTCTTAATCGAGTAGCTCCCTATTTCGACTTATATTTTAAATGTCACATAATAACTTATATAAAAGGGTATTATTTTTTCAGTTTTTACGATAATGCGCCATGGTAAATATTTGCGGTCGGTGTTGGTTCGGGCTACTGAATGTATTTCTATGCCAACACAATTATTTATATTAAAATGATTTGCAATCGTATTTAAGATTTCTTGGTGTAGTTTCATCTGTGAAAAAAATAAGGTGTCATATGGAACCATTTATGGTTCTAGCCAAGATATTGAACCTTTTAAGGTTTCACTCGCTCATTAATAAACCATCGAGGGTTCTAGCTAGTTTAAAGAACCATCTCAGATCCTCAATAGTTCCGGATATTTGAAAAGGTTCCGTCCTGCACCATTGTTTTAATGCTGAACCATTTTTCCAAAGATGGCTCTGACCTGAAGCAAGATAATATATTTGCGGAACGTTCTTTAAGTAATATAAATCTCAAATAGGTTACCAAGGTCGAGGATTCCGAACTCGTTATCATTTTTTCAATCCGAGCTCTCAAAAAATCGAGGACTGTAAAACTAGGCATTTTATTTTAACTCCGATCTCAATTCTGATCGAAGTTTGAAATGAGCTATCGAGATCGAGGAATTCGAATCCGGCATCATCGATACCGAGCCTGAGGATCCGAGTCGGATTGATGGATATGGGTAGGTACGTCTTAATAATCAATTCTATGGTAAATTATAACTTATAATAAAATGCGCTTATTCTTTTATCTATTTTCATATATCACAATTATCAATAGAAAGTAATGTCAATCTGATAAAATGAAGTCAATATGTTCTTTATTTAGGTATGTAGCAATAATCAATTGAAATGCAAGTTGAATATGATAAAATAAATAAATGTTTTTTTCTATTTAGGTATATGTGAATAATTGATCTCATAGTAAGTTCAATCTTACAGTATCAGTCGCTCCTCTTGTTTTTTGTTTAGGATCGTCTCAACAACAAGTAACGGCAATTCCCCTTTCGTGCGAATAAAGGAGAAAGGGCTGGCTCGTATTCTACTCACAACAAATCCAGGTAAATATAACACATACGATTTAGTGGTTTAGCATAGAAATGAGGGTAAAGGCTAGAATTAAGGTTTAAGGATAGAAATTAGGTTTAAGGATAGACGTAAGGGTTACGGTTAGGAATAAGGGATTAAGTATGAAATTAACGGTTCGATAAAACATTAGTCTAGAGTACTAGACTAATTGAGTGTGGTGGACTACATCTTACTACTATAGAACAATTTTTGAAAGAAATAGAAAAAGTTCCAGCTAAAACCAGATTTTGCTTGAACCTTAAATGGTTCTGAAAATGGCACCCAAATTTAGAACCCTAAAAAGTTCAGTATAACACCTTTTTTTCTTTCTGAGATTTTCTTATTTGCAGTAACAAGATAATGATCAGTAGTATTTTTACGAATTTTATCATGTGTGGTAGGTGTTGTTACAGCAGTTGATGAAGATACTGATGCTGTTGATGTAATAGTTAATTTTGTCGGTGATCTTTCTGAAGAATATGAGTGAGCATCTTCAGATAATTGCACAACTAATTCAGCAGCGTCATTATCAATATCTTGATTAGCATTAACTTCATCATCAGGGGTATCATCAATCATGTCATTATTTATTTCGTCTACTGGAGTTGGAAGATTTTCTTCATCATCGATGCCAGCTTCATGAACTAATTTCCAAAATTCAGAATCTGATATTAGTCTTTGTCCAAACATAATTTCATATGGTGTTTCTTTGGTAACTGTGGATCTTCTTGTATCTAAACCATAAATCCCAGGTAATAAAGCAGTTGACCAGCTGGATGAATTGTTGGTAGACATGCATTTGCCGAGAGCATCACATAAAATTCCATTCACCCTTTCGATACAGCCTTGACTTTGTGGATGCCTCCGGTCTTCCACGAATAAATAGTAAGTCAGGAAAACATGATTTTAATTTCATTATAACACTTGATACAAATTCACGCCCATTATCACTATGAAGTCTGCGAGGTGGACCGAAAATAAAAAATAATTCACGTAATTTAGCAACGACTTCACCAGCTGATTTCTTTTTTAATGGAAAAGTCCATGAAAACTTGCTAGAGTGATCAATGCAATTCAAAATCAAACAGTAATTAATATCAGATGATATTTTGTCGGGTCTTGTACGGATATCTATAAGATCTATTTGTAAACGTGTCATAACACCCAAAGAAATGATTGGTTTTGAAGCAACAAGATGTTTTATTGTCTTTCTGGTTTGACATGACAGACATTGTTTCAAAAATATTTCAACGCAATATCGAGGGAGTCAAGAGTACTGAGCAATTATTTCAGAATAAGTCTTTTCACGACCACCATGTGCAACGGCAATATGTGCTTCATAAACGCAAACTGGCCTTTTAGATTTAGCACAAATTACAATATCATTGCCAGCAATTTTAAGTAAGTTAAAATGGGATTTTGCCCAAAACACAAATCTTGGAGAACATAATTCAGAAGCCGTTCCTTTTGGTAACATTATACAAGTAACGCGACGTAAGCGTCGCTAATCCTCTACTGAAATGGGTGACCATGTTTAATAAATAATAAACAATCATACAAGTTTTGACGTAAAAATTAAACAATGCTATTTTCTATGTCTCTATGTAGTGATAAGTGTATCCAACGTATTAGCTATTGTGTATAGCTGGATGTGGATTGTTGGATGACCTTTTATTTAGATTCAATTACTAAAAATCTCATTGGCAGTTTCATAAGTAATATATTGCTTAGTCCGAGAGAGTTTTTAATATTTAATTTGATTCTTTTAATAAACCAAAGGTTCATGCGAAGTCTATTCTATCGTTTTGAAACATTTGGATTGAAACCTATAAATAAGAATACCGTTTGAATTAGATTTTATCCTTACAAGCGATCCAAATATGAAATTATTGCTAAAAGATAACATCTCAGGTATCTTTTTGCATGGGAAGACTGTAATGCGGCATCTCATAAGAGATACTGAACGAGAAAAACAATTTGAAAAATTACATAAGAGTTACTTAAAGATATTTTAGCTTCAACCTCTGAATATAAGCTTGAAAGTTAAAGTCCGATGACTCATAGTTTGTCCACCACGAAATTGTTATAAAGTCAATAATAAAAGTGTGATAAAAATCAAATATATTTCTAGTTTACCATGCAAGATGATAAACGAAATCAATGTGTTGTATCAAGATGAGAAAATTTTCTAGTTTAAATTCAAGTAGATGAGTCAGAGAGTGACTCTTTGCAGCACAGATTTCCATGGAAACAGCATTTTTTGACTTTGTTGCAAATGATGTGTTAATCTCGCTCATAACACCGTTTCGCTTTTCTTTTTAAAAATTTCCTTTGAGCAAAATTCTGCAAAAGCTAAGCTTCAGAATGCACTATCTCTACGAGAAAGAGCTGAGCGAGCCCATGGGCAAGTGTTACTTGTAATCATATAAATATTTCACTTTTCAAATGAACTTCGTATTGTGTGGATGAAAAATGACCGGTGTCATTTAGAACATTCGACAATATCATTATTTCTACTTCAATATTGATACTGTTTTGCAAAAAAATACAACATAATAATATATTTTATGTGAGAATTTTACTCATTTCTAAAGCAAAATATCTATGCTGTTAAGATCACTGAACTATAACGTTTCCGATGGAGTTCATTGGATACTACTCTAGCTCCCTAGATAGGCTGAAATTGATTGTTTATACGTGATATTTAACCTTAGTTTATCATCTTTATGCCTATAAACGTGTGTTTTTCATGTAAACGAGACGATAGTATGTTTTGAGAAGGAGCAAAATAAAGTATAATACCATTACAATAACGGAACGATTAATGATATTGTTTTATATCTTTGAAAACTATAGATACAGAGTGTTATTCCTAACGAGTGGTGAAACGTTCGTTTATTCGAAGCCTCACTGTGAAATACTGCTGTCTATTTAATTTATCAGTGAACAATGCTCATAGTGTAGTATTTTGCATTAAAACTTGCTCCATTTTTCATAGTCTAGATATAAGCTAATGATATACACATATACGAAGAATTTACTATTGTCGAAGGAAGGAAATTTTTGCAACTGGTAAATCGTATCAATATTTACTCTGAGAGCAGGTAGTCTAAGTTGATCACTGACTTAATCCGATGCATTCAGGAAAAACTCGAATCATGACCTAAGATATTCTATACGTTCGTTCTATTTTCTTCTTTCATTCTTGATTCCTGAAAGCACTTTTCTAAGCTGAAATCTTTAGTACATTCAACGGCGAGCGTGGGAGTATCTCTATACTTTTGTTTTTTGTATGAAAGCATTTTATGTTCTTGCTCTTCTTGCTTATTATTGAAATAAGTAACTAGGATGAGAATATATTCAAAAAAAGTGTTGGATTTCATTTTTCTCTTAGAACTCATTAAATTTACTTTATTACTCCGATAATAAACAAATCTTTTAAAATCATCGAAACATTAGATATATTTTATATAGAATTATGATGANGACTCAATCTCAGTCAACTTTTTATTTTCTTGTATGATCAGCAGATTTAAATGTAATTCTTTAATGATTCCAAACATAAATTTCTCGTTTTACGATGCATATAGAATATATCTTTTAGTGAGATTGAATGTTTAGTCAGAATATTGTCTTTAATCAGTAAACATACACTACTACTCATCTGAGCCAACAGGTAGAGACTGCCTTTCTTTCAATTTTCATGGAATCTAGGAACTTAACTCAGTTGATACAATGATGTGTTGTAATGATTTATTGATGGTAGTGAAAACTTTTCTTGCTTTCCGATTCCAATATAAAGACTAATAGAAGATACTCTCCCATCAGTTTGTTTTAATCTAGAAATTTACAGTTAATCGATTCGATCTTCATCAGCTTTAGATATTATTTTTTGGGTAATATTTTAGCCACTAAATGAAGTAAATTCATTACAAGTGATGATGATTGAGTATATAAGATTCATCTTACTTTCTTAGTGACGAAATCACTTATTCATTTAATAGACAAAGAATTCATCTTTTTCTATCAATTGATATAGAAAAAAATCGATAGAATTTTAATTTCATGACGATGCGGTACTTTTGTTCTCGAAATTTTTCTTTGAATTTACCCATACCCACACCCTCAAATATTACTTAGTATATATAAAAATACAGTATCTCGACTACCACTGTCTACTGTTGATTTTTATTTGAATGTTATTACTGGTGAAGCAACATATATTGTTGAAAATGACTGTGTAAAATAAACTCCAACAGGAATTGAAAATTTGAACAGGTGATTTCTTTTTCCTCTCAAATAAATTCAATTCTATCATGATTTTCATATACATGTATGTAGATAAAATCAGGTAATATTGAACTTCTATCCGGTTTCGAATCCTTAGAAACAAATTATATGAATTGCATGGTTGAAGAAGAAAAAAACAAAAATTAGAGGATCAATTTCGTATGTTATACAGTCAACTATGTTTTATTCTTACATTTGTTTTTGTTTAGAAAAATTCTATGATCATGTATACGTGCTTGATAAGAACTTATTTATTTTCCTCTGGTCAAATATTTATTTATTTCACATATTCATTCGTTAACTCAAACGAATAACTGATTATAAATATATTTTAGTTTATTCCAATGAGTACCCCTGGTCATGATGGTCCAACAAAAGATCATTCAGGACCAGCTGCTTGTCAGGGTATGTAGCTTTTATCTTTTAAATGTTAAGTTGATCTGTTTCTTTTTTTAATTCTAGAAAACATTGTTGAAATTGTGTGATGAATTACGACCGAATTTAATATTGTCAACTAGTGGAACGAGAATCAATCCCGATGATATTTACACCAGAAGTATGTGTGCTTGTACTTTTTTTTATTTAATAGACTCATTTTTACTTGAGGCGACGAGTTAAGTTACTACAAAAGAAATTCCTGGTCTAGCACAAAAGATAATTGTGAAATTATTAGCAATTACTCACATGGCAATATTTTCCAGCTGAAATTCATTCTGTCTTACATGAGCCAAGTTATCTTTCGTTCTGTTGTAGGAATGCTTATATTTTATTTTGTTCTATAACATGCAACAGATTTGATTCAAAATCGACGTGCTGAAATAGCTATGACATACTAATATGCTAATCAAATGTTAGATAGTTGATTAGTCGTCTACAATGTGAATAGTGAACGTTCAGATGTTGGAGAAGAAAATGTGAATTCAAACTCTTTTAATTCAGACTGATATGTCCAAGGGAGAAAAAACTCATTCGGGCATTCCCCGTCATTCCTATCTATTCACAATCATTTCAATATATTTCTAGCTATTCTAAAATTTTCTCAAATAGAGATGGACCATTTTTCTAAATGAAACTGAAGTAGTGTCAGTTAATATGAATCTTAAGAGAGAGTCCGTGGAACCACTTAGCAACTTTACTAGGAGTCGGCCGCCGATAAAATGTTGATTTTCGATTTAACTATCTTAAATCAAAGGTCTAGTCAAACCATAAGTGAATCCAAAATATCAGACCTTTCTGATGCACTGGAGAAAAATGCCAGCGTTTGTAAGTTATACACCATTTATATTTGGTCAAAAAGTGAAGCTTTTAGGGTGTCATTAGTATTTTATACGTTCTTCTAAGTTTACTCATTCGTTTGACTTCAAAAACGTCTCAAAAGATAGAGAAATCTTTTCTCTACAAAACCTAGTGATTAATTTATTTATCCAGTGTCATATATCAGTAGATAATACCAATACACAGACAAAAATTAAGATGGGTTAAAATGGGAAATTTTCAGTATTTTG